GAAGGGGGACAGATTCTATGCAAGGGGACGGGTTGGATGCAGCGGGGCGGGTTGAATGAAGGGGGACAGATTCTATGCAGGGGGACGGGTTGGATGCAGCGGGGCGGGTTGGATGAAGGGGGACAGATTCTATGCAGGGGGACGGGGACGTGTTGCTGGAAATGAAACTGGAGCGTTTCCTTGGATTATTTTGACGTACTTGTATCGTGGTAGCTGTAAAGCAGCATTGTGAGAAACCTCTGGACACTCAATCGTTCCACCAGAAGCGATGCTTGTGAAATCATTTCAGCGGCAGAATAATAACATCAGAACCCTTAATTCAGAGCTGACTGACGCTGTTTATTACGACGTGTAAATAAAACATTAGTCCGTCTTACCAAGGAGCAAACTGCAGGTTAAATGAGCTCATGTGTTTGCAAGTAGATGGATTCATTGGAAACGGGGCTGAAGAGAAACACTCCCAGTGTGTCGTAAACAGGGGGGGGGGGAGGGGGGGCATCGAGAACCCGATAGCAGAAACGAGATGGAAATGGAAGCAGTGCACAGGAAGTGTGCGTGCTTCAAACAGTCGTACTCATTAACGGTTCTTTGGGGGGGGGGGGGGGGGCCTCTGTGTGCACGTGTCTGGGTGTGTGTAGGTACGCCCAGCGCTAACTGAACTGGATCTCTTCCAGGGACTAAAAGTTTGAAAAAAGCGGTGGGAAGTCCCCTCTTCTCGGGAGTCACACCGAAAACTGAAGACTAAGCATTCATTTGCATACCCCCCCCCCCCCCCACACGCTCTGCCTCCCTCGGTGTGACTCATCAGCAGACAGTTTGTCCTCTCGGTGTGTTGTGTGCACGTGGCAGACAGTGCAGGTGGCCGTCTCAGCGTGTCACCCACCTGCTGCTGTCACCTTACGACAATCCGACTGTCAGAGCGAAGAACAGATGAACGGAGGGGGATGAAAGATGGGTGAGTGGACAAAATAACAGGAACACATTACTACATATTGCGATCCAATTTAATTTGGAAATCAAGCTTCAGGTTCGCTCTTTTCAAAACTTTGAGGCCTGAACTTCACGCTGGATTGACGAAGCTTAAGTTTGCACATGAACACATTTTTCCCAAAAAGTCATTTTTTAGTTTCTCTTTCGGTCTCCCTCCTCTCCGTCGTATTTGAAAATGCTGCATGGAGACGCACAGAGGGCGGGAGAGAGGAAGAGGGATGCGACGCCCCCGGGCGGCGGCGGCGGCGACCTCGGCGGGTGAACGAAACCACCGGCGAAACGAATGAAAAGAAAAAGAACGGGGACGGAAAATAAAAGAAATGTCTGGTCGTGTGGAGAATGAGTGGTTGGGGGGGGTTCCTTGCACGCGGCCCGCCGTCGTCCCTCCATCGCCGCTGTAATCCGGAGGCTTCGCTCGAGGTGGGAAAAAAAGCCGATGGGAGTCGGATGGACGGAAACAGACGAATGAATGAGCGCGACGGGGGAGGGGGGGTCCGGGCTGCCAACGCCACGCCCAAGGAACTCAGAAACATCCCTCGCCCCCCCCGAATAGCGATGACGAGGCCGGTCAGATGATGATTGCCGCGATGATGCAGCCACCGCTCACGCAAACACACACACACACACGGTTAAACACACGCGCACACAAGTGCACAAGCAGTACCAGAGAGACGGAGCCAGCTGAGCACCAGAGGACCGCTGCAGGACCAGACGAGTCAAAACCAGAGCGCACACACACACACACACCAAACTCCCTAACAAAACACACACACACACACACACTCAGGCGCTCTCACAGCTGCACTCTACTACGCTCCGACTCTCTGATACAACGATCGCTTTTCGGGGGCATTGTCTAAAAGCGAGAGGAGTGAGAAGGAGGCGAGAGCGGGAGCAGGAGAGAAGGATGAGCGGGGGGGAGGAAAGGGAGGGAAAGCGGAATCGGGAGACACACACGAGTCGTCAAAAGTCGTCGTTGTCGTCCTCGCACGCGGCGGTTCGCGTCAGAGGGGGCGTCGCGGCGGAGTCAGAGGACGGACGCTTTCGGTAGCATTTGCGGATCCTTTGGCATGTGGCGCGGGAATCGGATTTACTGCAACGGAAGATTTGGGTGATTTGTTTTTTTTAGGGGACGTCGCATCAGTTTGGAGTTTGCTGAGCGGCCGCGTTTTGCTGCAGGAGGGTCGACGGCTGCAGCCGCGGAAGAGTCGTATCTGGGAAAAGAGACACAAAGCGTCAGGACCAAGTTAGGTAGCGAGTGGAGAAAGAGCCACGCCGAGTATGGAGAGTGTGTGTGTGTGTGTGTGTGTGTGTGTGCA